GACGACACTGAGAGAAATGAATGTACTAAACTAGACTTTAAAGACTTCAAATCTAACATTGGATGAACCATATTATCTAATGCCTTAAAAGGACTTTGTTGATTGAATAAAAAATATAAATAATTAAATAAAAATAAATAACTTAAAGAAAATAAAAATAAAAAAAAAAATCAAAGAAATAAAATAAAATACAAATACAAATAACATAAAAATTATAAAGGAATTTTATACTTTTGTTTTTCAAATTTTAGAATTTTCAATTTAAGCTTGGAATGAAAATCTCTTTAAAATTTGTCAGGTTCTATAAATTCGAAATAACTATTATAAATGAATTACTAATATAAATTTAACTAAATTATTACCGTTTAAAATGGAAATGTTTAACAACTAATCAATAAAAATTATTTATAATAAAAATTTTAAATAAAAATTTAGTTTTTGTGCAAAGTTCTGGAATAATTTTCAGAAATAATAAATAAATTCTATTAATTAGCTGAATCACTGAGTAAGCCCAAAGGCTGAACTTATGAACTTGTCTATATACCCATCAATATAAGCTTCGTCTAACAGCAATTTTGCATTCCAATTTATAATTTTAATGCTAGTTACTAGAGTGCACTCATTTCGCTCAGTGTAAGTAGCAGCAGCGGAGTGAAGGGCTTTTTGCATGGGTAAGCAGGCTGGCCACAAAATCAATAATGATTACATTTGCGTTGCATATTTCACTAGACTGGGGGCAAGATTTGTAGCCGCCGTCGCCGCTGCTGCTGTTGTTGTTGTTGCTGCTGCTGCCCATCGTCTAAATGACATTTGCGAGCCTACGACGACGACGACGACGACGACGGCGCGACCGGAAAAGGAGAAGGCGCAACGTCAATTCTTGGCCGGTCAGGTGGTTTGCTGGTTACGGTGGTGCTGGTGGTGCTGTGGTGCTGACGCTGCTGTTGGCTGGTGTGAAAAATGCAGCCAGCAAAACATACAAAAAAGCTCACGCACACACACAAAAGACGGAACGCGGTTAAGTGCTCAGAGGCAGCAATAATACAGCCTACGCCCACATCTAAACAGGGCGGGGGAGAGTGCGAGAGACAGGGAGAGGGCGAGACTGGGATTGGGAGTGGGAGGTACACCCCACTTTAGCTCTGAGCTGTGGAGAACAAGAAAGAAAAAATGGAAATAAACGGGTTGAGTACTTTGCGCTGTGGGGCTTCGAAGCAAAAGAAATGCAGAAAGCAAGAGGAAACTGCAATAAGTGGCGCGCAGGGTCAACAATAAAAGGGGGCGCGCGAGCGTTGGGGACGGGGGCGTGTCTGATAAAACGGGGAGGGGAAGCGGGTGGCCAGACAAAGAGGAACGCCACTCAATGCAATTCAGCAACGTCAACGGCCTACAGACGACGGCAATGAGTAGAAAACAAAGAATAAGAATCAAATAGAGAGAAATTGTGCGAGACAGAGACAGCGAGAGAAGGGAGGTGGGACGAGACTAAGACGAGACTAAGCCAAAGCCCATGCCCAACCAGTTAGAAATTGCAACAGCAAAAATGCAACAAAGTACAGCTACCAATCTGATAGCGAGTGCACACACGCACACACAGAGAGAGAGAGAGAGACGCACACACACATGCATCGTCACTTACAGCTACCTACTCCGCCGCCTCCTCCCCCGCGCTCGTACGTTTTATGTTCGTTTGGCAGGTTGAAATTCAACGCAGCAGAACGAGCGAAGCGACAGCGTAAAGTAAATGAGTAACAGCAGCCAAGAAGACTGACTGCGCAATACCCTACATATGCAAAATAGCAGCCGATTTGACTATGAAGCAAAATTAATCTAAAATTCTGATATAAATTCTGCATATATAAATACATACATATATAAACATATACATACATATATTTTATATAATAAATTGCATGGTCCAGCAAATACTCCACATTGCTTATCTCTCGTTCGCTCTCATTATTTCTTATTCTTTTTCGCTGCATTTACTAATATTTTCCTGACATTATTCATTTTCGCTTTTTATAAAACATTATTTAGATGATAACTACTCTAAAGCTTATTCATAACTTAGTTTAAGTTTCCTTTAACACTTTTTATCTTATCATAGTGCAATATGTGCTGTATATTTATAATGTCTGTGAATTGGGCGGTCTCGAAAATATCGGACTATTTTATTGAAATAATTTTGTGTTCCTTTTAAGACATTAATTTAACTTAATCTTAACTTGTTTAATATATATTTTGATTAATGCTACAATTATATAGAATATATATAAATAAATGCAAACCCCTTTTGATACTCTTTAAACAAATGGTAATTACAATACATCAAACTCATATGCCTGTTCGAACAGAGTATAAATAGCAAAGAAAATGCTCGCGCACACACACTCACACACAGACATGCGAAATACCAGACAAAAAAGAAAAGCAGGCGACAAAGCGGCGTGTGTGCATCAAAAATAAAAACTTATAAAAAAAAAAGCTCCAAATAGGCACAGTGCGAACGAAGGAATGCAAAAGAGAGCAAAAGCAGCAGCAGCAGCAGCAGCAGCAGCAGTGCAGCCGCAGCGCAGCAGCAGCAAAACGCAAAGTAGAAAATGCAACATAAAGCGAACACGTCAAAGCAATTGCAACTGCAAAGCAAAAAAAGAAGAAGAAGCAGCACAAACAGAAGCAGAGCACACCAGCAGCAATTCGGGCGGTAAATGGGCGGCACAAGCAGCTGAATATCATGTACGCAAAACAAATAACTGATAAAAGCCTATACAAAAACGAAGAAAAGACACTTGTATGTGTGTGTGTGTATGTGTGAGCTTAAAATTCATGGGAAAAAGTTATTAATTGTGGCTTGATTAGAAAATAAAATAATACTGTTTAAATAAATATATTTAGCTTAAATATGAACGCTAAATAAATAAATTATCTAGTCATAAAAAATTAAAAAACAAAAAATAAATAAATTCAAAGTAATAAAAATAAATAGTCAACTTAATTTTAAAACACATAAATAATCAAAAATAAAAATTACAAAAATAAATAAATAAAACTTTTAAGTATAAGTAAATTATTTATCTTGCATAATAATTCATATTGAAAATAAAAGCAATCATCCAAATTGAATAGAAGTATTTTCCAATGCCCAGTAAATCACCATACAACTACAGTTATAAATCCCAGCTAAAGCTTTCATCAGAACTAGTTTTGTTTTCTGTCTGTTATTCTGTTTGGTCAGTAATTTCTGGTACTCAACATACAATGTTCTTAAAATAAATCGAATTGGATTCTCGGAGATTTCTGGTTTGCCTACCAGAGTGTGCGTGTGTGCATGTATGCATGTGTGTGTTTTTGTTGTTACCAGCTCAAGTTTGGTGAGCGTGCCAAGTGTAAATGATTTGTATATGACTAGGAATCAGCAGCAGCAGCAACAAAAATCTAAACAACAAAGCAAACGCCTGAGCTTGAGCTTTGTGCAAAGCCCCGAACCAAGTCAACGGAATATGAAAGGTGGAATGAAAGAAAGACTGAGCGCGAGAGAGTGAGTGAATGAGCAGGCAGAGAGTCGAGACGGGTGTAAATTCAAATTCAAATCTGTCTCTTTTCAAGTGCAGCGAAGCGACGACAACAACAACGACGACGGCGACAGCGACGGCTGCGTCGCCTTAAAAGTAATCACAATTGAATTTTATAGGCGACTGCGAAGATGCAGCAACAACGACAGCAGCCCATAGAAAAGTTTCTGCAGTTTGTTGTATGGTAGGCTGATAAGAATAAAGCGTTACCAAGCGTAAATGATTAAGGCTGAGAAAGGGTTGCCAAAAAAAATTTTTTAAATAAATAAATCGAGCGCATTGCTGCCCACGCCAATTAGAAAATGTACATAAATCCCAACTGGTAAACCAACCAGTGTTGTACAATGTAAAAACAGGCGACTCGCACACACACATGCACGCAACGGCTATACAGCATTTGAGAGCAAAGAGCGGAGAGCGGCTTGCGCAAGAGAGCAAGCAGCAAACTCAAAGGCGCGCGTAAACGGCGACTGTTCCAAGAATGCAAGGCACAAAAGGAGGCAAATAACAACAAAAAGAAGAAAACAAAGAGCGCTAAGGCAAAGCAAAACGTGAGAAGCAAATAAGAAAATAATGCGACGCCGCCRCCGCCGCCGCCATACAAAAATCAATTTCAAGCGGCGTGGGGACGAATATGTTAAATGCGAATGTGATATGTGTGTGTGAGTGAACGTGTATATGGATGCTGTCTTTGGTTTTGCACTCAAAAAAAGGAGCAGCGCAAAGAGTGTAACGAATTTCTAATTCCCTTTCAAATTGATGTTTTATGAATTTAACACGGGCACATGGCAAAATTAAATATTTTTATAATATAAATTTCTTATATAATATGAAATTAGTATGCGAATTTATTTTGAGCGTCATAACTTGTATATTTCATACATATAGAAATAACAATGCAAATTATTTAAGACCTGTTTTTCCAGATCTGAGTCTGAATGAAATACATTTGAAGTATGAAAACATTTTTATTTTTGCTAAATATGCACTGATTTTTAAATTCAATATATTTTTGGATGCGTTACCAAAGACATTTACAATTTATATGCTCATCTCCAGCGAGCGCATAAAAACTGTATACACCACAAACGCACTCACATAGAAACGCACACACACACAYATATACACATTGAAACAGGCACGCAACACGCGACGGCTTTGCCGGCTGCCTACAAAGATGAGAGCGAACAGAAGGTACAGAGAAAGAACGCTTAATTATGCTTAATTTGTTGTTAATCAAACTGACAAACAATAAACTTATTAAACAGTTGTAAAGTCTCGTATATGTATTTTTTAAGTTTTTTGCACAACACTTGCAGATAGTGAAATAAACGATGAGAGAGCAAAACCAAAGACAACAAAAGCTGCTTCAAAAATTTTTTGTTCAGCAGTCAAATTCAGTGTAAAACAAAAAATTGCGCTCACGTTTTTTCTCAATTGTAGCTGTAGTTGCTGTTGAGTGTTGTTGTTGTAGTTGTTTCTGCTATTATTGTTGCTTTTGTTGTATTTTATGTATGTTTTGCGTTTCTGCCGCTTCTTTGAATAGCTGTTTTTTTTTGTACACTGCTCTCTTCTCCGCTTTTCGGCTTCACGTTTCAGACTTTGTATTGCAATTCGCAATTTGCAATTTTAGACGCGACGCGCTTTTATTTGGTTTTATTTTTGTTTGTTGTTGGTTTTTTTTTGAAAATTTGTTGTATATTGCTTGTATTTTTACTTGTTACAGTGTAATTCACGACGCGCGGCGACAATAGGCTATGCACAATACAATTTCCTTATTTGCTGAAATTTTTCACTGACCAACAAATCGAAACGTTGCGACGCGTTGCGAGCTGAACGAACCGTACACCACCATTAAATTTTTATAAATGACTCAGTTTCGCGCTCAGTTTTTCTTATAAGAACAAACAAGCTAAACGGGCTGGCACATTGCGCTCTCCGTTTCTCTCGCTCTCTTTCGCTCTGTTAGGAGAGCGCGTACGCCACCCGCAGTGCTGTTAGGCTAACATGGCACTCTAACTGTTAACTCGCCGCTAAAATAGAGAGCACAATGAGTGGTGTGTACAGTGTACAGTGCGCAAACGGGCTAACCGAATTGCATTGCATACGCTTGGGGATGCACTCGAATGTTAACCGAGCAGCTTAACAGCTGACTGTTAGGGAGAGTTGAGTATATTTCGTATTGTCTATGCGCTCTTTTATATGCTGTACGGCACTATGGTTATCTCGCTTACGCTTGTTGGTGTCCTGCTTTAAGATAGTTTGAGCACATTTCACCGAGTGAGCTAGCGTTATGAGTGAATACTCGACAATGTGTGTTGAGTGTCGCATTTGTGGAAAGAAACAGTGCTGCCAAGTTTTGAGCTTATCAAATGCGCGAGATTCAACATCATCTACAACATTGCATATGTATGTATGTATGTATGTATAATTAGTATACACATACATATATACATATTGCATTGCATTAAACTTGTATTGCATTATTGACACGTGGCAACAATACTTTTGTATTTAACTCAGATGACACAAATAACTATTGAATAATTACAACTACAATTATTTAATAATTTATACGTGCTTTTGTGTTTGCTTACATTTCTCGTAAATCATAAGACTCTATTTTTGGGAATTTATATTTTAAAATTATATATGTATGTAACAAAAATAAAAAATAAAATAAAGAAAGCCGTACAGCTCATGCCGCCGTGGGCCAGAGCTTAAAGTTTTCTAATTCGCTAAAAATTAAAAACATGTTTGTTTCGATAAAATCCTCTCAGCTCTTTATAGAATTATTTATTTGGAATTTTTCTGCATATTTATTGTAAAGAAATATATGCANCAGATCATTTAGATCTGCGCTGCTCCGTTCTGTTAAACAAAATGGCCGCCATGGCGGCCAATAAAGTAAAAGTTTCACAGAGATCGATGCGAATATTGTATGGAACGAAATGGAATCGCATGGAACACGTAATGCGGGCCGAAAGAATTCAATTGAATTGAAAGCGCTGGCAATGAAATATGGACACTGGTGAAGTTGCCGGCCGGCATTTGTTGGCGTTGTTGTTGTTGTTGTTGTTGTTAAAGTGTTTTGTGGGCGGCGCTTGGCAGGCAAAGTTTATAAATAAAATAAATAAAAGTAAACTTGGGATTTGATGTCCATTCCAATTGGAATTGAAACCATCGAAAGCAATAAAAAAAAGCGATAAACTCTTTAACTGTTTACGAGGTATTTATAGGTACATCAATCACTCGCACACGCACACGCATACATATTCACATTTTTAGACGAAACGCAAAAAAAAGGAAGTCCCAAATGGATTATAATTTCATATGCTTCACGTAAATCAGATTAAAATATTGTACAAGTGCTAAATGCTATGTGAACACCTGCGCGCCGCACAGCCTCACCTGTGTTTGTATAACTCTCTCTCTCTCTCTCTCTATGTGTGTGTGTGTGTGTGTGTGTGTGTATCAGGATGAGCACAAACATAAGCACAAAAGTCAATTAATTGAATAAAAATACATTTTACTTTCTGTTTTTGTTTTTTCAATGTTAAATATACAAATGAAAAAAAAAAAAATAGGAAAAAAAATATTTACAAAAAAAATGCTGCAAAAATATTATTGGTTAGCTGCGGGTTAATTGGGCGCACGTTGTGGGCGTGGCACAAATTTAAATGTCACACGCAACAATTTATACAAAGTCTGGGAGAGTGGGAGAGAGATAGAGCGACAGAGTGTGTGAGAGAGTGAGAAGGGCCGATGGAGAAGGGAATGGCCAAAGGAGAGCGGGAAGAGCGGCATAGTGCGATGGTGAGGAGAAGAGGGCGAGAGTACTATAAAAATGCATTCAGCGCCACTCTGTGTGCTAGAGAGAGATGGAGAGTGGAAGGTGGATAAATTGATTTGCGTAGGCGCAACTTTTGAACCTGGTCCAGCGATAAGTGTAAAACTTAATTAAATTTTTAACAAACAAAATAAAATAAAACACAAGTAGTAAGAGTGAGGGAAGCAGCAGGAAAGAGATGGGGACAGAGGGAGAGAGAGAGAGAGTGAGTGATAAAGTGGCTGAGAGAGAATTGAAGAATACGAAGAAAGGAATGTTACAAGCGAAGTGCATTAAGCTACGCGAATTTAATTAAATTATTATTAATCTGATTTGAGTGTGTGCGCTGGTAACACACATACACATGCATACACTCCTACACTCTCTCACACACAAGCTAATTTACACTTTTTGCTCATCTGCATTTACAAGGGCATGAAATTTTAATCACATTTTCTGTGTGGGCAATAGGCGGCTGACACACACACACACACATACACACAGAGCCAGAGTATGCACATACACAAGCACACATACCAATACACATAAGTAGGCAATATATAAATTCGCTGAGCTTAACTCTGTCTCTGCTTGTGTGTGTGTGTGTGTGTGTGTGTGTGAGTTCAATGCAAGCGTTTGTATTTTGCGCTGCCAGCTGAGGCAGAGCAGCTGCTGCTTCTTCTGCTGCCTCCCTTTATCTGTGTAAGTGAGACAGGTTTTGGCAGTGCTTCACACACCCACACGCAGACACATACACACACACATCGAACATTTGACAGCCAACAATTTTTCGAAAATTAGGTCGTGTTGAATTTGGAATCAACTCTAATTGTCATGGCAGTTTTTTTTTTTCATACAAAAATCAATATGGGGATTAATATAGAATTATATACACATACATATATATGTATTATATATATAAACAAGTAAGAAAGCTCTAGTCGAGACTGCTCGACTACGAGATCCCCTGAACCCTTGGAGTGCTAGCTATTTCAATAATTTTTCGCGTCTTTCAGCTTACACAAGAAACACACACACATACACAAACACATATACATACAAGCACCCACGCATAAACACGCATGGGCTGCAGTGTGCGCTTACTATGAGAACTTAATTGTTTAATAACTTTTTTTGTGGACGTACGATCTTCATGAAACTTTCAGATTATGATTATAACATGAATATGCATGTAATTGCCAAAGCACAAGTCTCTAGTATTTGAAATACGCGTTTTACAAAAGTGAGGGTGAGGGGGTGAATTTAGAGGTGGGGGGTAAATTTTAACAAAAACCGAAATTGTATAAATTGCATATAAGCATACATTNATTAAAAACAAAATACTATAATTAATATCCATACATATAATAATATGGGTTAGCAAGTAATCTTAATTTTAAATTTAAAAAAAAAATTTCTCATTCACTCAACTCTGCCTAAATCTAAACTAATTTAAAATAGTTTTCTATAATAAACCAAGTACAGTTAGACCGATTTCCCACCTCATTTGCGGCTCACCCATTAATAACATGTGCTCCAAATTTAACTAAATTGAAATAATTCCCACAAAATATGCCAAGTCCAATTGCTAAGCCAATTGTGAAAACCATTTGACCCTCAGCTAAAGCTGGGTTCGGTGGGTGGTTGGGGGGAAATTGGGGTCTCGTTTCGACTTATTTCCTTAACCTTGGCCAGTCAAGCAAACGGAGATGCCCGCCTCAGACGCTGGCAGCCAAAGAATCTACAAGTTCATTAAACTAATAGCCAACAATTTATAACTAGCTGAAGTGGACCAAGCCCAAGGAAATGGACTTTGCCCAGAGCCAGAGCTAGAGCCAGAGCCAGACGAAGGACGAGACAGAACTAATGGCTCACCTGGCTGTTGGTGAACTAAGCAAAACTAATCCGCTTAATGTTTTGCCTATCTCTTAAAATGTGAACAGAGTCGAGCTGCCAGGCTCTGAAATATATATATTATAATATATACATTATATAATAAGCGATAGGATTTAAGAGAAGTCTGCGAATGCAAAAACTTCAGCTTCAACTTGAAAAGTTATTTAAGTTTTCCCTTCTGCAGCTGCACATTGAACAAAGCAAAAGGTTTATAGGGACTGCAACACGGATGGGGGCGTGGCTGAACAATGTCAAAAAACGATAAAAGAAAAAAAAACTTAGTGAGTAGTCGGCCGTTAACGACTGCAGAATACTCATTCACGGCCCAAAATGCTCGCAGATCGACCTGACGATTTGCCACGCCCTCAAGGGGCGTAAATTAGGAAAACTTTGACGTTCTAGCAGAAGAGGTTATACAAAAGGTTTACATTCCTACGAAAAGACGAAAGGACAGCAAGGAGGACGGCAATAGATAATTACCACAAAGCCAATATACTCATTTGACTCTCGTGAATGGGTATAAAAAACTTTGCCAAAGTTGAGTACGCACAATACCAGATAATGTGATAAGCAGTTACGCATTTGGGGAATCGACTTCCGGCAAGCATGTGTCTACGCAACTATCCTCGAGTAAATGCACACATATACAGACACAACTATAAATAGATAAGGGTCCAGGGGAGGGGGTTGGTCTGCTAATTAGGTAAATTGAAAGCTAAAGTTTTATCTGCCTAACAGACGTGCGAGCAGCTCAAACATTTGTAAGCTGAGCAAAAACTGTGAGATAAAAGAGACAGAAAATGACAAGTGAATGTGAGCGAGAGACACGGGGGAAAGAGGGAGACAGCTGCAGGAGCAAATTGACTGTGTGGTTACAGAAGTACCAGCAAATGTACCATAGACAGCTGTTGCACACGTTAGAATACAACGCAATCTGATTTTAAGTCGAGTTGAAGTTGCTTTTTAATTAAGAGAGTTGCTTTCATATGGATTTCAGACATACTATATATTTGTGTGTCTTTTGAGCAACCATAGAGTTCACTCATTCATTTATTTCACTTTGTTCTGTTCTTGATATTTTCAATGATTGAGTTTAGTAGCTCCTTATTATATGATTTATTTTCTATAAACCTTTTCTGATCTCCTTGAC